TATCGAAGGTGCATCAATCAGTCTCCATTGAAGTGCTTTGGGATTGTTCACCTCCAAACCAGAGGAATTTTGGATACAATCTGCTGGACATGAATAATATCCATCAACGAATTTCAGCAAATCGGTGGCATGAAGAATGTTCTTCATTTGACTGCTCCAGATGATGAAGTTTGTATTATCCAGTTTTACAGTCACAAGAGAACTCAGATTAGAAATCAGCTTGTTGAGATTCGAAGGGATTGCAGAAGAAGATGATGGAATTGCCATCGGAGATGCCATTGAAGATATGCTTATCGGAGCTTCACAACTCTAATACCATGAAGAAATATTGAGAAAGTAAATTCTTGATTACTTCCATTGAGTGCATTTACAACTGTATATTCTATACATATCACTATCTACCACCAACACCACTATCATATTCTATACATATCACTATCTACCACCAACACCACTATCATATTCTATACATATCACTATCTACCACCAACACCACTATCATATTCTATACATATCACTATCTACCACCAACACCACTATCATATTCTATACATATCACTATCTACCACCAACACCACTATCATATTCTATACATATCACTATCTACCACCAACACCACTATCATATTCTATACATATCACTATCTACCACCAACACCACTATCATATTCTATACATATCACTATCTACCACCAACACCACTATCATATTCTATACATATCACTATCTACCACCAACACCACTATCATATTCTATACATATCACTATCTACCACCAACACCACTATCATATTCTATACATATCACTATCTACCACCAACACCACTATCATATTCTATACATATCACTATCTACCACCAACACCACTATCATATTCTATACATATCACTATCTACCACCAACACCACTATCATATTCTATACATATCACTATCTACCACCAACACCACTATCATATTCTATACATATCACTATCTACCACCAACACCACTATCATATTCTATACATATCACTATCTACCACCAACACCACTATCATATTCTATACATATCACTATCTACCACCAACACCACTATCATATTCTATACATATCACTATCTACCACCAACACCACTATCATATTCTATACATATCACTATCTACCACCAACACCACTATCATATTCTATACATATCACTATCTACCACCAACACCACTATCATATTCTATACATATCACTATCTACCACCAACACCACTATCATATTCTATACATATCACTATCTACCACCAACACCACTATCATATTCTATACATATCACTATCTACCACCAACACCACTATCATATTCTATACATATCACTATCTACCACCAACACCACTATCATATTCTATACATATCACTATCTACCACCAACACCACTATCATATTCTATACATATCACTATCTACCACCAACACCACTATCATATTCTATACATATCACTATCTACCACCAACACCACTATCATATTCTATACATGCCACTATCTACCACCAACACCACTATCATATTATATACATGCCACTATCTTATTATATGCATTAACACAAATTTTCAGCAGCTTTTACAACGGTCTGCCACAACCATCCAGTGTCCTCTACAACGTTATGACACCACCATCCAGTATCCTCTACCACGTTATGACACACCCATCCAGTGTCCTCTGCAACGTTATGACACAGCCATCCAGTGTTTTCACCAACGGTCTGACACGATCATACAGTGTCTCCTATCCTCTTTTATTTTATGTATTAGTCTATTTTCTTGTTTTGTTACTCTCTCCAAACTCAAGTTGGTTAGTTCCTATCCCCCTTGAGTTTGCGGGGGGCTGTTAAAACGTACCAAAACCTACCACTACACCTACTCCACCCACTTCACCTACTCCACCTACTACTCCACCTACTACATACCTACCTCCTCTAATCTTCTATATATAGGACTCATTGTAAATATAACAAAACATCAATCAATAATACATCAATTTTAACACATATGTAATTATTCAATGGAAAATAGCATCTCATCAACATTGCTCTTTCAAATCAATAGAAAAGAAGCCAACAATTTTTGGTGCTACAAGGTAGGCATACATTCGAGAAAAATAAAAATAGAAGCAACACAAAATGAAATTAATAAAATGACAATGAAGAGAGAAGCCACACCATATGTGTGTGGTTCGGCTACTACTTTACACACATGGCACACAAAAGCCCCAAGGGTACATTTGTCCTTTTATTGATTTTCAATCTTCAATATTTATTCTTACAATAAAAATCCCTATATGAAAAGTATATTTTAGTAGGTAATAGAGACAATTGGGTTTTACCTAATATCTAACATATCCTTACTAAGCAAAATAGCTTTGCACTGTCTTTAAGGCTCGAGTTTAGCACAAAATTAGTGCACTGAAAAATATGCAGAATAGAAAGGGATCAATTCTGTGCATTTTCATGGGCAACAATTATGTGCACATAGGTGAGGCTCTACATTCGGGTGGATAACAATTGAGAAACAATGTGCATGGTTGGTCTAGATTGTGGACTCTCATGCAAACATGCAATTGCCAATTTTACACTATACATCACTACTTCCTCAACTTCAGGGGAGGGAGGTGAAAGGCGTTGGTCTAACACATCCTTTAACTCTATTTTCTCGATAGCTGAGGTCGACAGAGAGGTGATGAAGTCTCCCAGATGCTTTCCTTTGATCACCTCCAATGCCAACACACCAAAGCTATAAACGTCACACTTTTCAGTTACCTTCATTGTGTAAGCAAGCTCTGCACACAAACACACACACAAAAAAAAAAAAAACCCAACCACACACACACATGATCAAGCACTTGTTTTCTTACATTTTAGATTCTACATCAATTTACGAGAGCATAAAATTGTGTTTACCTGGTGCAACATATCCGTATGTGCCTGCAAGTGCACTCCAGTTAGAGGAATCTAGCTTCAAAAGCTTGGCGGTGCCAAAGTCTAAAATACGAGGCTCGTACTCCTCATCAATCACAACATTGCTGCTAGAAATGTCTCGGTGAACAATTGGCGGTGTGCAATCATGGTGCATGTATGACAAAGCGCTTGCAATACCCTTAATAATTTTGACCCGTATACGCCAATCCAACTTTTTAGCTTCTTCATCTCTGCTGAAAATTGCAGCCAAGCTATCCCTTTCGAGGAACTCATAAACTAGAAAAGAGTGCTGAGCATACGAACAGAACCCGAAAAGCTTCACTATGTTTCGATGCCTAATTTCTGTCAATGCCCTTACCTCATTTAAGAAACCTTTCCTATCAGCCTTCTCAGAAAATGGATGAAGTTTCTTCACAGCTACTATATTAGCTGATGGTAGCTTCGCCTTGTAGACAGTTCCATATCCTCCCTTTCCAATGCAATATGTGGCATCGAAATCCTTGGTAGCTTTCACAATGTCATTGTACATTGCTCTTCCATCAAATATTGATATCGATAACAGATCTTCATTCGGGGGTTGGGTGTCACCCTCTTCAACTTGTGACCTTCTCTTTCGTGGATCGAAGATGATGAGAAGTCCGGTGAATGCACCTAGAAGTAAAAGTGCTCCGCCAAGAGGGAGCACGATTATAAGAACGAGTGTCCTCTTTGCTAGAGTGTGTTTGGGCAATGCAGAAGGAATTTTGCAAGGCTGCAGGCCTTTGACAGTTCCACATAGACCTTTGTTCCCTTGCAGTGCTTCTATTGATGCATTCATGAAGGCGCTGCTCATGGGAATAGAACCTTGCAACTGATTGTATGATATATCAATAAATGCCAAGCCACGCATATTTTCAAAACCCTTTGGAATGAGACCATAGAGATTATTGTGGGAGAGGTTTAAATTCTCCAAACTCTGCAAATTTGTGATTTCCAATGGTATTTCCCCTGTGAGATTATTACTACTTAGATCCATCTCAGTTAGTTGAAATAACTTACCAATCTGTATTGGAATTTTCTGGCTGAACATGTTGTTGCTCAAATTCAAGTAAAACAGCTTAAGATAGTTGCCCAGAATACCCGGTATTGATCCATTGAATCTATTTGTGGACAAATCAAGATATGAAAGCCCAGTTAGTGATTCTAGTTCTTGAGGTATACCACCCGAAAGCTGGTTATCAAATAAAAGCAACTTCTCCAGAGAAGTCAACTTCCCGAATTCCTTCGGAATCTCCCCAACTAAACAATTTGAAGACAGATCAAGTCGATGTAGTTGTATTGAATTTCCAAGCCCCGGTGGAATGCTACCGGTGATATTGTTCCTCGCCAAGTTTAGGAGTGTCAAATTTGGAAACGTTCCCCAAATTTCTGATAATTCACCAGAAAAATTGTTGTAACTCAAATCCATGTAGACTAGGTTTGGATAAGCACCCAAATCTTCGGATATATTTCCAATGAATTGGTTTTCATCAAAGCGAGCTCTGGCTAAGCTTGAACAGTTTTTCAAACTTTGGGGAATTGTACCTGTGAGCTGGTTGTGGTTCACAGTGAAGTTTACAAGTTTACCACCTTGGCAAAGCTCTGGGAGATTGCCAGAAAACTGGTTGTCATCCATTTCTAGTACAAGCAAGTTTGTCAAATTGCCAAATTCAAGTGGAATGGGGCCGGAAAGTTGGTTGGAACGAAGGAAAAGAATTTCTAACGTAGACAAATTGCCTAATGAAGCAGGAATAGGACCACTAAGTTGATTTTCGCTTAATTCCAAATCGGTGAGGAACTTCAAATTTCCTAGTTCTTTAGGAATTGAACCAGAGAGTTGATTATTCCAAAGATGTAGGAGTGTTAGGGAGCTCAAATCACCAAAAGATGTTGGAATTGAGCCAGTAAGATGGTTGATTTCAAAGCTTAGGTCCTGGAGTGATTTCAACTTTCCTATCTCTTGTGGAATGGAACCAGATAGGTGATTGTTGTACAAGTGCAGCACAGTTAGCTTATTCAATTTTCCAAGAGTGGAAGGGATGGGACCAGTGAAATTGTTGGTATCCATGTAAAGCTCGACAAGATTGACAAGGTTTCCCATTTCGGGTGGAATGGGACCAGAAAGATCATTCTCATAGAGATATAGACGAGCCAAGTTTCTCAAATTTCCTAAAGAAGCAGGAGTGGGTCCAGAAAGACTATTGGTGTACAAAGCAAGCTCAGTAAGAGACTTTAACTGGCCTATCTCTTGAGGAATTGAGCCATTCAATTGATTTTCGACTAGGTGGAGAGTGTCAAGATTTGTTAACAGGCCGATTTCTGGTGGGATGTTTCCCGAGAACTGGTTGATGGACAAATCAAGATAGATGAGTTTTGAGAGGGAGCCAATTAGAGGTGGGATGACACCAAAGAGGTTATTCATACTGAGATCGATATATGTAAGGAGGAATGGGACCAGAAAGATCATTCTCATAGAGATATAGACGAGCCAAGTTTCTCAAATTTCCTAAAGAAGCGGGAATGGGTCCAGAAAGACTGTTGGTGTACAAAGCAAGCTCAGTAAGAGACTTTAACTGGCCTATCTCTTGAGGAATTGAGCCATTCAATTGATTTTCGACTAGGTGGAGAGTGTCAAGATTTGTTAACAGGCCGATTTCTGGTGGGATGTTTCCCGAGAACTGGTTGACGGACAAATCAAGATAGATGAGTTTTGAGAGGGAGCCAATTAGAGGTGGGATGACACCAAAGAGGTTATTCATGCTGAGATCGATATATGCAAGATTGGGAAATGATGAAAACGTAAAGTTGTCGAGCGTACCATTTAGACTTGAATTTGTGAGGTTCAACCTATTGACGCTTCCATCGAAGTTGCAAGTAACTCCAAACCAGCTGCATGGGCTGGCACTTGTTGAGATGGTATCATGAGGTGGAAGGACCCATGAAGTTAGCAGGGAATGGTTTGTGCTTTGCAGGGTGGCTTTCCATGTGATGAGAGCATTAGCTTCTTTAACAGAAGCAGAAGTAACATTAATGGTTGAAGAAAAGAGTGTCACAAACAGGACTAAGGAAACAAGGCAGAGTTGTCTCTCTAACAGTCCCATTGTTTTTCCCTTTGATGAACTAATGGGTAATCAAGGCTCTAATTTATGTACACATTTTTCCACTGGTCTATTGTTGTAGTAGACTTTGAAAATGGAAGTCTTTTTGCTCAAATGTACAATAGAATCAGTTAAAAAAAGAGCATATGTAATAATAAGAAGCGTTTTGCCATTGTGGCTTCAGTACATACATAGCTTACACATGGTTCCTGGTTCAATTCTTCTCAATAGCAATTTGAATTTTTTTGAAAGCAGTTTTTGTGTAGAATGTTAAGAGTTTCCATTTCTATCAGTCATAAAATTAAAAACAAAAAATTTATTAAGCTGTTTTGGGAAGTCTATTGCTCCTGTTTACTGAAGACAGTTTTCCTTCTCTTCCATTCCAACACTAGCTTTGGGGAAGTGCTCTGCAAATTGTTGCTTTTAATTGCAATATTCTACTCGACTGGACTTAACTCCACTAGATTCTGATGCTTTCTAGGAATAAATGCTAATGGTTAAAGCAGCTAGTACAAGACATGAATGTTCTATTGCAAATAGGGCATTTTGTATTTTGTTATATGTGAACTTTGGTTAAAGTGTTTTTCTTCATTGCGCTAGGGATATTTGTCGGATTAAAGGTTTGTACAAGCCTGGTTCAAAGTGTAGACAGATTTGCTCTAGCCTGGCTCAAGTCCGACCTTTATTAATTCCCTTATCCAAGCCTGAACACTGAGTTTATTTCAAAATTTTAACTCTAGCTCAGGTTGCTCGAATTTAACACAAAAAATTATTTATTGTGTTGTGCATTAAGAAGCGTTTTGCCATTGTGGCTTCAGTACATACATAGCTTACACATGGTTCCTGGTTCAATTCTTCTCAATAGCAATTTGAATATTTTTGAAAGCAGTTTTTGTGTAGAATGTTAAGAGTTTCCATTTCTATCAGTCATAAAATTAAAAACAAAAAAACCAGATAATAACAGTTTGATTCTCTAAACAAGCAGGTTTTGGGTTATTTCTTAGCGCAAGAGCCTGTTCTAGAGTTAGGAGGTCAGTCCTTTGTTATATGTTTCTTTTTTCTTATTCGTCTTCTTTATCTGTTTTTTTTTTATTTTTTTTTATTTTTTTATTAAGCTGTTTTGGAAGTCTATTGCTCCTATTTACTGAAGACAGTTTTCCTTCTCTTCCATTCCATCACTAGCTTTGGGGAAGTGCTCTGCAAATTGTTGCTTTTAATTGCAATATTCTACTCGACTGGACTTAACTCCTCCATCACTAGCTTTGGGGAAGTGCTCTGCAAATTGTTGCTTTTAATTGCAATATTCTACTCGACTGGACTTAACTCCACTAGATTCTGACGCTTTCTGGGAATAAATGCTAATGGTTAAAGCAGCTAGTACAAGACATGAATGTTCTATTGCAAATAGGGCATTTTGTATTTTGTTATATGTGAACTTTGGTTGAAGTGTTTTTCTTCATTGTGCTAGGGATATTTGTTGGATTAAAGGTTTGTACAAGCCCGTACCCAAGTGCAGATGGATTTGCTCTAGTCTGGCTCGAATCCAACCTTTATTAATTCCCTTATCCAAGCCTGAACATTGAGTTTATTTCAAAATTTTAACTCTAGCTCAGGTTGCTTTTTATTGTGTTGCGTATTGAGTTGTCTTTAACCAATTCATTGCACTTTTTAAAAATAAAAAGGGTGAAAAAAAAATTCTCAAAAACTACAAACATGGAACATGAAAGAAAATTTGTTTGAGTTGTGCATGAATAAACTTGAACAACTCTCAACATAATTTGAGTTAAGTTAGACAATCTATCAATTTGATCCATCCTGCCCGAATTGCACACTAAATCTGGCGTATAAACTTGGGCAACGGTCTTTGTTTATCTTGTAGCTACATAGTGGAGTCTCCAGTCAAGTCAATGACTCTTAATCATATAAAACTACTAGGAGAAAGTGCTATGTGAGACTGGAAATTTTGGATTGACCAAGTCAACACATTATTTTCTGCAAAAGAATCATGTGCCTGTGGAAAGAAATCCGCACCCAGAGTTTGAAATTAAGCTAAGTGTCCTTGGTTTTAATTTATTTTTTTAAATAAATATCATAAATTAAGGTTAAGTTTGGCAAGTTGAAAAAAAGTTAAAAAGTCAAAAAGTTATTCAAAAAGTCAAAAAGTTATCACTATTCATCAAAAGTAAAAAATTACGGCTGCACAACTCTCAATTTTAATTTTTCCATACACACTAATTTATATAATTTTTTAATACATATTTTTTCAAAAGTCAAAAAGTTAAACCAAACATTCATATTTTTTATCTCAATTTTTTAGTCCAAAAAGACAAAAAGTGCACTTATTTAGGACACCCCAAACAACTCCTAATATAGTTATAATTATCATATCGATCTAATCTTTTTTCCATATGAATAGTTAATAGATTATGGTCTAAAAAATGAATGGTACCGATTGTGGGACTTGTGGTGGCCGTCATGGGCCCAAACAACACCGGCAAATTGGTCCTATAAATATATATGTAAGTGTTATGAATATGTGAAAAGTGTATTAAATTTATAAATATTTTGATATTTTATGTTCTTTATTGATACCTCTTGGGGCTATCATTAGCAAGGTCTTAATTTTTTTTCTTTAAAAAAAGTATTACAAAAAGTGTAACACTAGGGGCGGCCATGGGCTGATGGCCCACCAAGCCCAACTTGATATTTTTAGGACTTAAAAAAATATTTAAATTTTTAGTTTAATTAATTTTTAGGTTAGACTTGAGATAAAGAGTTTTAGCTCAGTATGTTTATTTATATAATAAGATCTCGTTTGGGAATAAGTTATTTTAGTAATTTTTTGACTTTTTAGCTATAATATGAGATAAAAAAAATTAGTATGTTTGGGGTATTTTTTGGCTTTTTACAAAAAGATATACAAAAAGTAGAGAGAAAATAGAATCTTTGACTTTTTGGTATAAGTTGTTGGCTTTTTAATTTTTTTAGTAACTTTTTGACTTTTAGGTTAAAACAGCCACTTGTCAAACAAGGCCTAAAAGATAAAGAAAAGTGCATATATGTATTTTTTTCTTTCTAGGGTTTAAATTAAAACATTTCTTAAAGGATTATATTTATTTTGCAATTAAATTTTGTTAATATTTCAAATTCATATAATTATTAAAAGGGTTTAAATAATATAATAGTCTTTCAAGATGAAATATTTATTGACTGAAGTGGGTAGATTTGAGATTTAGACATTTTTGTAAGATTGAGCTTGAGATGACTGAGTTAGACTCGACGTTAGAACATACCAAGTTTAATATAACTGTATATGGTACTGGTCTAGTCTTATGTTTGGAAAAAGCGTGGTAGCTTGAATTGGAGGAGGCTCAAATGGTCTGAATGGGTGTTAGCCGGTCGTTTGCCCAGATGACCAGCCGGACATCTGCCCAAACGATTGGGTGAAGGATTGTCTACTGCGGTTGTCACCTTTGTTGACCGCGGCTGTCAATCTTCTCGCCGAACGACCGGCCAGATGTCTATCCTAACGTTTGCTCAGATTACCGGCAAAGTAAATTTCGAGCCATTTGAGTTAACTTCATATTCGAGTTATTAAGCATTACTCCTTATGTTTATCCACCCCTAAGGAACATAACATTCATTGTTTTTAAATTTTTATTTTTTAATTTTATCTTTTTTGCTAAAATATGAGTTAAAAGAATTAAAGTATTTGAGAATAATTTTTAAATTTTTATGAAAAAAATGTCCAAAAAATAAAGAGAATGGAAGAAATTTTTGACTTTCATATTTAATTTTTTAAATAATTTTTTGATTTTTGTTTTACTAATTTGACCACTTTCCCAAAATTGACCAAAGTAATGGAGAGAACGTGTAGACTCCGCCATGGGTCTATGTTTTTTTTTTTTTTTTTTATTGCTGAAGTCAATTGATAAGACATTTTTTTTTTTTTTTTTTTTTTTATTGCTGAAGTCAATTGATAAGACAAGGTGCAAGTTGGCTTAATAGTTTGAATTTTGTTCCAACTTGATATTGATGGGTTGAAATAATAAGATTTAATATTTTTTTGTTGAATTTTTGAAAAAAATAATTAAAATTATCAAATAACAAATTGTATAGAGCAATGTTCTAGATTATCAAATAATAGAGGTGTTTGGGGAATTGATATTTTAGTAGGCTATTTTAGTTTTTGATTATTTTAATAGGTTAAAATAATTATGTTTAGGAAGAGGGATGTAATTTATTATTAGGGATTTTTATTGATAAGTCCAATTTAGAAGTGTTTTAACCCAAGAAGTCCATGAAGGAATTTTTTAACCCATTTAGTCCCATGTATGTATAGTTTTATTCCATAAAGTCCATTTTCTTGATTTACACTATTTTCTTGGACACTTATGCCCTTATATTTAATTTTGATACCCTTATAAATATTTTTTGAACCAAATTGTATAGAGCAATGTTCTAGATTATCAACTAATAGAGGTGTTTGGGGAATTGGTATTTTAGTAGGCTATTTTAGCTTTTGACTATTTTAATTGGTTAAAATAATTGTGTTTAGGAAGAGGGATGTAATTTATTATTATTAGATATGATATTTGTGAGAGAAAAAAATAAAATAATTATGAATTTGATGTAATATTTTATCTTATTAACTATTTTAAATTTTTTTTCTTTTAGTATTATTTTAGTCCAAAATGCCAAAAAACAAACCTATTATCAAACATTCGGAGATATAACATTTTTTGGAATTTTAAGGCTGACCAAAAGTCACACTTCCAACAGCCAATGACTCTTTTTTGGGGGTAAATGGAAGAAGCAGCAAATATTCTAAATATATTTATATAACTATTTTTATAAAATATTGGATAAAGTAAAAAATAATAAAATGAAAATGAGATGCGACTTGTTCTTGTTTGTTTTGTTAAATGAAATTAACTATATAAAATTTATAAATAATCTTGTTGCACAGCTACCAAATTTGGACTACTCAAATGTACCACAACGATGGTGTTTTTTAGCTTCTTTTTTATCAGCAAACAATGTAATTATAAAAAGAGAAAAAAAATTGATGTGATTTTTTTTCTTCTTTTGAAACGGGGAAAATTTTGATGAAATTTTAGTGTGATTACTATGGCATAGCTATCTTGGAATATAATTTAACAGACCTAGTTCAAAAAACAAACAAAGAAAAAAAAAAAATACAACCAAATTATCAGCGGACAAAAGAAATGGAAGTTTACTTAGTATTTTGTGTGTGTGAATTTAAAAAGTTTTAAAAAAAATTAAAAATTTTTATTAAAAAATTATAAATGCCAAAATAGTTACTATTATTAGCTTATTTTTTGTCTTTTAAATTTTTCAGTTAGTTTTAAAAATTTATAAAAAATATTCACTAAAAATAAAAATAAGTCAATAAGAAAGTAAACTCTAAACACCTAAATAAAGCCATCAAACTTTCATCACTGGCAGGTTGTCCACTTCCACCATAATTAAAAGATTGTGTTGACCCATGTTTTCCACTCCAATTAAAAAGATTATGTTGACACATGTTTCATGATTCATCATGATTCGAGTGGAAAATTTTAATATATATATATATATATATTGAAGCTCCGAAATATGATGAATTACTTGATGCAAATTCCACTAATTAGAAACAGTGACATAAACGTGCAATTTCAACTAAAACATTTATATAAACTAGTATAAAATTTTCCGTACCGAGATTCAAACCATGAGCTGAGTGTAAAACAACAAGATAACATCATCATTTACTCTATAATCCCAACGGCTTCCTTTGCTAATACCGAGTCCCCTGGGCGATTTTGTTAATCTGTTAGTGAGGCCCTTGATTGTCCCAACCGACTATGACCACATCAGCCTTTTAAAATAAACATGGTATTAATGAGTCCTACTTCACCAATGTGGAAGGTGAAATTATTTTCACAAAGAAAGTGAGATAATATGTCTAATCCTTTGCATTCTGTAAAGAGAAATCAAACCTTAGTGATCACTCCTGACGAGGATTGGTCGAAAGGATTCTCTGATGATCAAGTCAGTACACTAATCAACCATAGCATATAAATATAAGAAATGAAATATTTCTGAAGTAGAAATTGATTAAGATTGAGCATGATTGGGTTTAGTAGTGTGCGCATTGCGGTTGGGTGGTTTAAGAGTAAAATTACAAATCGAGTGACGGATTGGCATATTAACAGTTTGACAAATCACGGTTTGGGCGTTTTTGGATGGATTGACGGATTGAAAAATATTCTAACCAATTATCAAACATTTGAATAATATATAATACTAATTTGCATAATATTTTTTATACATACAACGCAAAGTAATTTTACATAATATATTTCATATATATAACTACTATTAGAGGTTAAATATATATATATACGTATTAACTATAGTGGAGAGGAGCGGTTTAGAACATGGATTATAAATTTTAAAATTTAATCCGCAGTTAGTGAATAGAGCGGTGCAGATTGATGCAGATCAGTGTAGTTTTAGTAGATTGAGCGGTATTTTGCACAGCCCTAATTGGGTTAGATTGGATTCATTACTCATTCCTTTGTACTTTGTTAGCTTACCCGTTTATAGCTATTCTGGCTCAAATATTATTCGTCGGATCTTGTTTTGATTGAAGGGTTCTGCCCATACCTGGCTTTGGTCGTGTAACTTGCCAAGTGTGCCTTGTCCTTGATCGTTGGATCTTTGGTGCATGGACGGCTTGGATGATGTTAGATGTTAGTGGCCAATTCATCGAGCATTACGTTCGTAGGATTAAATTGATCGAATGACACTGCCTCTTACTAGATCTAACCTATGTCTTAGTCTTGTCTATTCTATACTCGTCACTGTTGAATGATGCTTAATTTGACGCCTCTTTTATTTTATAGATTTGCCTTCTAGAATATTATCTTTTGTATTTGCTTGTCTCCTCGCTCGCCGTGATTGGACGCTAAATTGTTGTCAGCTGTCCTTCTTGGGTTCTAAGGGATGGATTTGGACTTACCACTTTTTGACTTTAGGCTAGCATAATTGGATTTAGGCCAAGGCCCATATTTTTTCCCTCCACAACTACTGTTATTGAGTCTTTCAAAAATAAACATGGTAATATTTTTCTTATAAATTGATTTTACACAGAAGACACTTGAAATAAAAAATATTTTATTGCCTAAATAAGAAATTTTAATTTAATAACTATCATTTATGACTTGTTAACGAGTTAAGATATTTATTTAAAAATACTAAATATGTTGACAATGTAATAAGTGAGAGTCAACTTTATAAAAATTGACTAATAAATTTTTTAAAAGCAAGTTATTTTTGAAGAAATGATGCAAAAATATTTTTCTTCAAAAATCATAAAATATTTTTCTTCAAAAATATTTCTTACTTTTTGTTCAACTAAACAATAAAAAATGAATAAAATATTTTTGATAAAAACATTTTACTTCAAAACAAAAAGAATGTGTATGATTTTTATGAAAAAAAAAAATTATATTATTAACATACTCAATGAATATTTTAATAACAGATTTAGAGCACATTAAATCTGCACTTCGCACCCTAAAAACATTTTTCATGTCATTTCCTTATGAACGTACTACAACTAAAGTAGTGGTAGTATTAGTGTGGTTATAGTGGTGGTAATAGTGATGATAATATGATAATGGTCAAGTAGTGCCAAACATTTTCCATAACATTTTCTTATGAACGCACTATCACTGTAGTAGTGATAGTACAAGTGTGGTCGTGGTTGTGGTAGTAGTGATGATAATGTGATAATGGTCGGATAGCGGAGATGGCAGGATGGTAATGGCAATACTAGTGATGGCGAATCATAGAGGTTGTGGTGGTGGTGGTGGTGAAAAAGCTTTAGTCTGCAAAATATTTTTCACTTTTAAAAATTGAAACATTTTCTTTCTTAATGAGCTTGTTTTCCATTTATCACAAAAAAACATTTGTCATACCAAATATCCAAAAAGATGCTAAATATTTTTTAAAATATTTTCTTGTAATTTTAGCCAACACTTCAATGTCAACCCTTTCCAATCACCACAACTATCTTAAACACAAAAAGTTCAAAGAGTTCACCCCCAACTTTACCTAAAATTTACTTTGGATTATTCAAATTTCACCAAATCAATTCAAGTCCGCAAATTTTATAAAAACTTCAGCCGGTCTAAATCTTGAAATTGCAAAAAAATAAAAAATAAAATTTTTTTTTGAGATGGCAAAACAAAATAGAGGGAAAATGTAAATTTTCTACAAGCTACTTTTTTTTTTTTTTTTTAATTTTAATTTCTTTCCATAAATCTCACCAAATTCAAGTTTCAAACAGTCAATAGGGCTTTGACTGTCACAACAACTATAATTAAAGCCATACAGAAACTTAGTACAAGTCTTACATTACACAAATCTCATAGGTCCGCTTTAATTTTTATTTAATGGGTTTGGAAAATTACTTACATGACGCGGGGGTGGAATAACACTGCATCATAGAAAAGCAACCGTACAAAAGAGACAAAAAAGAAAACAACACATACATTAGGCTCACTGAACAAGTCAATTTAACTAAAATAAAGATTCAAGATACCTAAATAGACTAAAAGGCAGAGATGGCATCACCCAAAGGATTGCTCGATAAATCAAGCTGGCATGGACTGATCAGATTTCTGATAAGAGAGTTTAATCACACAAGCAGAATGAGATTTGTCAAATTTGATTTAAAAATAAATAATAAAAAAGAAAGAAGAGAGGATAAACCTAGACAATAGATTCTCATAAAATTGACTCCTCAAACAAGTTAAAGTTTTATATTGTGTTTCAGGTGAAACCAGTTGGTGGTTTTGGGAGCATAGCAGTTCAGCAAGGTTTTTGACAAAAAACCTACTGCTTGTCATATCCAATTGCTTCAAGATCAAGAACATCACAAGATATATTGTTCTCAAGGTGTAGAAAAGACTAGGATTTCACAAGCAATAAAGGGATGCAGGAATGGACCCTAGAATATTTGCTCCTAGAAAAAGGCAGTTCAATGAGTGACCTTCCAACTTGGATCTCAGACAGGTACAATAAAATAAAATTTGAATAAAGAGAAGAAATTGCAACCCTGTTGAATGTAGGGCTGCAAATGAACCGAGCTGTTCATGAACAAGCTCGGCTCGGCTCGTTTATTAAACAAGCCGAGCTCTGGGCTCATTTAGTAAACGAGCCGAGCTCAACTCGTTAAGCTCGGCTCTTTTATCTTTATTTAAATTATATAATAAATATATTATTTAATATAATATAAATACATTTTTTATGTATTAAATAATATAAATAATATTTTTTATTTAAATATATCTATTTAAATAATATAAATAATATTGAAAAAAAATTATCGAGCCAAGCTCGAGCCTAATTCTTTATCGAGCCGAGCTCGAGCTCAATAAACGAGCTCGATAAGTAAACGAGCCGAGCTCGGCTCGTTTGCAGCCTTAGTTGAATGGCTTGTTTCTGCTTTGCTCCTCATCTTAGCTGTGAAGAGAGATGAGATTGGTACCGGTTCTCATCACAACCTTTCATTTGAGAAGAGGCTTCGCATATTTCCCTCAAGCAGCAATCAAAGGACCAGTATTAAGAGAATAACAAAAACAGAGATGAACAGCTAATTTTGCACTACAAAATATTGATAGATGACCGGCCAAATAGACAGCTGGTTGATAGAAGTCCACAAAGCTATTTTAGTAAATTCACTCATAAATGGTCATAACCCTTTCCCTCCCCCTTAATAGGAGTTCCTCGCGTAAACACAAACATTTTTTGGTGATATCTCCCCCGGAAATGATTTCCCCTGCAACAAGTATTACCCAAGTGAAAAATAATAATAATTGAACACCAGTTTTCATGTCAACAGCTACTAGGATGAAAGGGGAGGAAAGCACAGACAATAATGCTAGCCCGAAAGCCAATAAAACAATGGCTATAGAGAGTTGTTAAGGTTTAACCCAGTGAAAAACTTCAGCATTTCAACCTTCACTACAAAGGCAACCATGAGCCTTGCTGAATATTTTATTGGATAAGTTAATCATTATTGTAATGATATAAAATTGCCATAGCTAAAAAGCATCCTCACAAATTGAAGTGTTATCAGATTCAACAAAATGCAATTAAAAAATAAACAGATACATAATCCAAATATGCATGAAACAGGCAACAAAGTTGACAAAATATTGGATGACTGCAAAAAAATACCTTCAAGAGCAATGCAATGGACTAAGAAACCAAAACTTAAAATTCAGCGTCAGCAAGATGTACTGGAAGGCAATGAAACAAAGCACAGCCACTGGAGCACAACAGCTACCAAACCAAGCATCACTTATCAACACGAAAAATGGTAAGACCAGGTTCAAAAGCTATCAGCAAGAAGTGCAGCAACAACCGATGTATGAAGATATCGGCTATCACTTCACATATACATTCACGACCTCATGTGCTGTCACAATATGCAACTGGTATCAGCTCAAAACCATAGTCATCGGTGCATGTACGAAAACACATTGATACATGCCACATCAATTGGTAACAGTCTAATAGCCAAGAATAAATGAGGGGAAGTCTAACCAAACATTGGTAAAAAGTATGTAACTATGTCACCATGCCCAACCTCATGCTACAATATCCAGCTCAAGCAGGTTCATATTAAAATCGGCACTATGATATATCTGGTCCAACAGTTTAACTGCATCAGCTAAACTGCCTTTCGGACCCAAGATTTACAGTCAGCAAAAGTAAGGACGGTCAGGTCAAAAGTCAAGAGTTCAATGGGACTTCAGTGGCATGCAAGTTTTATACCTCACCAATGATGACATCATCAGAGAAAATTTGTAAAAAACAATGTACTTCGCAAGCAGCAAGAACGATATCAACCAACCGAAAAATAAACACAGCATCAACAGCTGCTACATCATCAGCAAGTCAACCACATTCACTTTTCCCAGACACAATATAGAAGGCCAGTACACGGTCCATCACAACTAAAAAAGGTCAGTTATCTGAATAGATATTAACAAAGATGCAAACAGAATTAAATATGATTTAAAAACAAGGTAAAAGAACAAAGAAATATTAAAAATGCAGCCAACCCATGACAACTGGAGTGCAACAGTACCATCAAAACTTAAGGATGCATCAAGTACAACAAAATAGTCAACCTTATATATCAGCCCTGAGCAATCAATTCTAGCATTCAATGATTTGATAATAACATTGAAAATCTCAAGATGTCCTCCCCCAAAGCAGTTTCAACTACACAGCACGACGAGTAGAATACGAGCTGAAGATTCATCACATACTATATCACTCCCTATTCCTACAAAACAGAAATCCCAATATCCAGTTAAGCCACAAAAGTCTGGATGCAATCAACCTTAGATTTGAGGAATATTACTTACAGCAGCATTGGAATGTCGGGAAGGGCTCTGAGAATCAGCAGGTCTACCACACAAAGAAACACTTTTTAGAGTAGGTGAGCATTCTTTGTGATTGCGTCCATCAGGACTCCCACCTCTAGATGGAGGTGTCCTGCGAGGAGAGGGGCTCCTCCGAGGATTAGGGGTACGACGAGCAGGGGAGACACTTCAAAATATCCATATGGCATCAGATAAAATGTCCAAAATTCAATGAAGAGCAATATGGAGAGAGAGAGAGAGAGAACACTAAATACCTTTCATAAGAACGGCTCCGACTATGCCTCTCATCATCATATCTGCAATTAAACAAAAAATAACAAACAAACATGCAATTAAACAGTCAATAGAATAACATAGAAATATACTCCTGAATCTTTTATCGGGGATGTCAAAGAAGAGAGTGGAGAGAAAAGACAGAAACCAAACAAGATTGAAAATTTAAGGCATAAAAAAAAAAAAAATAACTCACAAGTGAAAAAAGTCCCCTCTCAAGAAATGTTCGAACTTCTTAATTATAATAATTCATGATTTATTAAGATGTAGAAGACTTGAATTCCCTAAGACTTGAATCCATAATCTCAAGATTAATAGGCTGAGATTTTAACCACTGAACCAATGGTTACCCCTAAAAACAACACTCGATTAGTACCCATTATGGGAGTTTGAGCATAAATGTATATATATATTATATAAATAAAAAGTTTCAGATTGAGAGCGGGAGTGGGAGCAACGGCAGAAGCAGGAGCCAGGAGTTTCCTGCTATTAAGGATTTAAGTAGACAACTGTTGCTGTGCTGTCCAATCCATGTCGAAGGTTGTTTGCCATGTGGAATGAAAATTATTTTTCCTCAATAGTGTGGATGTAAATTAAGCCGTATTTTAACTGCTAACATCAGTTATGTATAAGATGTATGGTCATACACTTCCATCCCAGTTTAGGACTTCTCACAACCTGTTGGGATATCTGTCCCAACCCAACTCTTCTGTAATCTTCCGCCGCCCCACCCTATGACAACTTCAAGACAAGTTTGAAGAGGGGCAGCTCTGTATTGGAAGAGGTTGGAAGAGCACAACTCCATGCAAAACATGATCAGTTTCCTAGTCGTCAAATAATATAGATGTAAAATAGTATGCAAAACACAATCAGTTGCCATACCTCAATAATGTGGATGTAAAATAGTGGAGGTGGTGGTGGTGGTAAATGACCATAGATGAGCAGACACATGGGTGTCATAGTTGCTCAAAAGACAAATATTCCAACAAAATAAAATCACGTATACTAAATTAGATATAGCCACATAAATGAGAATAATCAATTACCACATCTCCCAAATGTTCGCCAACTTCTTTGACCCAAATGCCATATAATGGGACTATTTTTGAAGACGACCACTTCATTTCCTATATCATTCTCAAAAAATAAAAAAGAAAAGGAAAGAGATGAAACAGTATGCCATTTCAATAAAATCCAAGTCGAACAAATAAAGTACAATAGAAGAAACTTCGCCATATTTCATAACATATAGAGCTAGAATAAATAGTGCGCAAGTAGCAGGGTCCTCTGTGGACCTGTTAATGAAGCCAACATATACAATTGAAATTTATCACTACCATGACCAAATTGAAACACAGTATATTCTAAATTCAAAACGCATAAACCTTGAAGTAACAAAGGCATAGCATTTGCATATCAACTCATCCCTTGATGACTCATAAATCAATAATCAACAAATTGACAGTCAATTACCCATTCCAGTACATACATAAAATGAAACACAACACTAATCACAATAGATGACTCACATTTTCTCAACATTTCGGCCCATACTTAGCGAACTGAACCATTATCTCTCTGCCATGAACAACTCGTCCTGATAAAGTAAAGCAAATAAAAAAACAAGGATAAATTACACTGACCTCCCTGAGTTTTGCCTTACTTACAGGTACCTTCCATATGGTTTTAAAAATAACATAGACCTCCCTTAGGGGTTGTTTGGAGTGTCCTAAATAAGTGCACTTTTTAATTTTTTATGAAATATGGGTTGGGTATGAATTGAGTTTTGACTTTTTTTGAGGATGCCAAACTTGGCCTAGTATACAAAGGCCTCCTATTACCCATCCGTCCAAATTCAAATAGATTATGCTGATATCATCCATACAAAAATGTTTTAGAGCTTTAATAGCTCTAATGGAGTGCGAATCCATTGTGATATTGATGTTTGTGTCTTGTATTTTTTTTTTTTTTTTTTTTTTTTTTTTTTTTGACTTCCATGTCATTAGAGCTCATTAGAACACTTTAATTTAGATAGATGTATCATTATTCATCATCTATAATTATTTTTCAAATTTCAATACTATAGATAAATGTAATTTACCCATATATATATATATATATATAAACACATACATTCTATCTCTCTTTCCTCTCACTCTCTCTGTGCTCTGCCTCTCTATCTCTCTTCCATCTCTGTGCTCTCTCTCTCTCTCTCTCCCCGACAACAAATCTCAAGTCCTACGAGAAAACGCAGACCTCTCTCGCTGTTTCCTCGCTAGCGACAGCGCCAATCTCACTCATCGAATCAAATTTCCAGACACTTAAGGCTTGAAAATCAAACAATAGATCCACAACACAACATAACATTTGCTCCCCCCCTCTATCTGTACGAATGAAAAAGAAAAAGAACAAGAAAATGTGAGATCTACTATGTGAACCGATAACACCACTCTCTCTCTTTTCATCTTCTCTATTATCTTCATCTTCTCTGTTTGAGGTTAGGGTTTGTGATATCTCAAGTGGGTTATTTTCTTCCTGTCGATCACAGATTCATCCCAAATGCACCACCACCATTCTTCTCTCCCCATCGATCACAGATCACAGATTCATCAAATCGCCACCGCCGCTACTTCTAACTTCATCTTTGTAAACCCTAATCGTCGATTGAACCCCCATATATACGTACATACATATCTAGAGAGAGAAATGGGGTCGGAGTTGATTTCAGGGGTCACGAGACCCAACCCACGTCCGATACGTACCCGTCGAAGTTGCACAAGCCATGGGTCTTTGTGATTCATTCGATTCGCTACATGCTTTGAGAGCAATGACTCATTTTCATCCTCGTTGGCATTGCCATCGCCACCCTAGTCTTCTCTCTCCTTTACTCATCCTCCTTTTACGGCTATGATTACACCCCGATCTCTGACTCGCACTTCCCCCACTGATTTAACTCACAATGTGCTCTCTTTCTCAATGGAGACGGCGGAGGTCGGGGGTTTGAAGAGAGAGAGAAAAGTAGACACAGAGAGAGAAAGTAGATCTGGAGGAAGAGAGAGAGAGAGAGAGAGAGGGGGGTTTTTTGGCTGATTTGCCTGACTATGTTATTTTTTGGACATTTTTTAGAAAACGACTTTTCAAAAACCGTGTTTTGTAATTAAAATATTTGAACACAGAAAATGACTTTAGAAAAGTCAGTTTTAATTAATTTTGAATTAATTAAAAATAATTTTGGTGAAATTGTTTTTACATTAATTTTTTTAATTTATATTTTCAACATAAATATTTTTTGATCAAAAATATTTTTAATAAAAAATGGTATTCGAAAAGTCGTTTTAGAAAACGCATTTACAAAAGTCGTTTTTACATTAATTTTTTTTAATTTATATATTTTCAACTTAAATTTTTTTTTGACCAAAAATATTTTTAATAAAACGTATTTACAAAAGCCGTTTTTACATTAATTTTTTTTAATTTATATTTTCGACTTAAATATTTTTTGACCAAAAATATTTTTAATAAAAAACGGTGTTAGAAAAGTCGTTTTAGAAAACGTATTTACAAAAGCCGGTTTTACATTAATTTTTTTTAATTTATATTTTCAACTTAAATATTTTTTGACCAAAAATATTTTTAATAAAAAACGGTTTTAGAAAAGTCATTTTTACATTAATTTTTTTTTAATTTATATTTTCAACATAAATATTTTTTGACCAAAAATGTTTTTTTTTTAAAAAACGGTTTTAGAAAAGTCGTTTTTACATTAATTTTTTTTTAATTTATATTTTCAACATAAATATTTTTTGACCAAAAATATTTTTAATAAAAAACGGTTTTAGAAAAATCGTTTTAGAAAACGTATTTACAAAACCCGTTTTCAGAAAAAAAAAAATTAATTATTTTTTCTCATGTGGGAAGGTTGGACTTGGGAATCAAAAGATAAGTAAGAGAGCAGCAATTCCAATGCATTCAAAGATGGGTTTCTTTAGAAAAGTACAGCACAAATAAAAATAAAAATTAAAACGTAATGCTTGGTTTGAGTTTTCTAAAACATTTTTTAGAAAATTTTATTTTCTTATTTTTCGTATTTTTTTTTGTTTTTGTTGAATTTTTTAATATTTTAAGTTTTTAAACATACCTGGCATAAATACACTAAATACCAAAAATACAAAAAAAATAAAAAATAAAAATTCAGTACATTTTCATATTTTTGTATATTTATTAATTTTTTAATTTTTTTTTACAAATATTTTGCTTTTTAGACAAATCTAAGTAAAATGAATCTAAAAAAGTAAAAAAAAAATGCTTAAAATTTTAAAAATATTCACTAAAAACAAAAAACTCAGTTTTCAAAAACCTTAATTCATAAAACTCAAACCTAGGGCTTGTTTGGTTTGTATCTCAAGATATAATTTTTGAGAAATTTTTTTAAAATTTTGTTTAGTTCAAATTTTTTGAAAAAAAGTTCCAAAATCACTTTTCAAAAATTTCCAAATTTTCAAAGTCTTTTCAAAACCCACCCTAGAGTGGGAATAAATATTTTATGTTTTAAATATTTATTTATTTTTTTAATGTGCACTATATTTTGGGTGTTTTCCCATATTAAGCCAATTTATCATCTTAATTCCCAAACTAAGCCTAGTTTGGACGGAATTCCCAAACTAGGCTAAAGCGCTATTACAAATCACGCTTTCACTGTTTGGGGCTGAAAATTTGATGAACATTGAAAGCGCTTTCACTGTTTGGGGTCGAAAATTGGTAGTGTAGTTTTTTGTAAGAATGAGAACATTATTTGTTATATTCAATGAATAATGGTTACATTATTGGGTTCTCATGATTGAGAAGATGAACAAGTTAAGAGAATGTGTGTTTCTCCTAAAATAAATTTTGTCAACATTTTTGTAATAAAACTTAATACATAATATACGAAGTCACTAATTTACTAAATACTCATACATGTATGAAAACAACATAACTGAAGTTGGAAATGTAATAGTTTTCAGTTACATAGGTAGTACAGACATAAGTCTCCCACAAAAATACATTCTGGACACTATGAACTGAACACACAATACATACATTCTAGACACCCTGAACTGAACACACAATACATAAACATAACTGTTAGACAAACAAATATTAGGCAGACAATCTGACAAACTCATTACGGAAACACTTAGTCTAACACAGACATTACATATTAATGCATGACCTAATATTGCTGAAGTGTAGACATTAACACCTAATTTGCGCTTAAATCGGCAGGTGGCTCAGAGTCTGAATAATCCGAAAGCTCAGCGTCAGAGACAAGTTCAGGATCCTCCATGATACCCTTGATAGCCGCAACATTTGGTTCTGTTCTGTTCTTCTGGGCATCCTTCTTAACTATGTATAGCTGCATATCGCGGGCTAACCTACAGCGCATTTGAGAAATCTCACGTTGTAGTCTTTCACATAGTCGATCAACATTATCAGGATCTTCCTTTTGGATCTCAACAGAACGTGCTTTTGGCACCTTCAATCGATTTTCCCGACATAATCTTTTCATTTGCACTCACTCTATAAATAGTGCGGGCCACTTCAGAAGTCTAGCGTCTGCTAAACCATATCATGTTTGATTATCTGATGGATCCATACATGAACCTCCTCGAACTGGATAATACTTGGGCATCAAAAAATGTCGCTTCCCAAATCTATCACGATAACCACAAGCATAATCTAAAACAGGTATTCCCACCCCCTTCCATGAATCGTCTTCAGCATCGCCACGTCCCTTTCCCTCTTCTCGTCGTGAACTGTCACCCCTTTGCAAGTTCCTACCACCTCTGCGATTTCCACCCCCTCCCATGAATCGTGTAGCCATGCTAATTTTTGAAAACAAATGAATGATAATTTCGTAGGGCAAAATGAGTTGTAAGGTTGTGTTTTCACCTTTAGTCGTTTATATAGTTGGTTATGAACGGCTTTAGAAATATGCCTCTGCATGACAATCCCACATATACGAACAAGGTATGAGTTGTCACTAGAATGAAAAAACAGAGAAAAACAAATACTGTGTACCAAGTCACGTGACTTGACAATCCATCTGCATATACCGACAAAATAAGGGCATGCTCACTGTAAGGTAAATCAGTGAATTCACTGTTGCCATGTGACTTTTTGAATTGAGAATCCCACATATATCAATAAGAGATGAGTTTGTCACTGTAATAAAACAATCGAGCAAAAAATCGAGAAAACAAAAGCCTGTGCACCAAGTCACATGACTTGACAATCCATCTGCATATACAGACAAAATAAGGGCATGCTCACTGTAAGGTAAATCAATAAATTTATTGTTTCCATGTGACTTTCTGACTGGAGAATCTCACATATATCAATAACAGATGAGTTGTCACTGTAATAAAAAAATCGAGCAAAAAATCGAGAAACCAAAGCCTGTGTACCAAGTCACATGACTTGACAATCCATCTGCATATATGGACAAAATAAGGGCATGCTCACTGTAAGGTAAATCAGTGAATTCATTGTTGCCATGTGACTTCTGAATTGTCACTGTAATAAAAAAGGAAGCTTATGTAGGCAATGTTGTGTTTCACTTGGCTATGCATCATTCGTTGTTACGACCAACTATTTGTATTTCATTGAAAAGTATGACTATTTGAATTTTTGTTGTCATTTGGAATTATTTTAAAATCAACTTTTGAATGTTCAATTTGTAATATTTTGGAAAACATTTAGGCCTTGTTTGGTTTGATTTTCAGAAAATTTTTTGGGAAAAATTATCTACAAACAAATTTTCAAGAATAATCATACCAAACAAATTTTTCCAAAAAACAATCTCAAAATTTTGTTTGATTACCTACTTTTCAAAATCACTCTCTCTCATACACATCAAATCAATCACTTTTTTTAAAACTCTGTCCCCAAAACAATTTTTCAAAATCATTTTTGAAAAAAGACAAACCAAACAAGTTTTTGTATTTTTTATCTCAAAAACTACTCTACAAATACAAACCAAACACACCCTTACAATCTCAACTTTTGAAATAAACTCTAAAATAATGGTGGATCTTGTGAGTGAAACATGGGTTAGGTAGGAGTACTTGGCCACCAATGTTTGTGAATATCATGGTGCATTCAAATCTGTCCAAAAAACTGGTGCATTCAAATCTGTCCAGAAAACTGGTGTTACACAGTAATTTCGGAAGTGTTGTTCTCTTTGGGTACAAATTCGAAAAATATCAAATCAGCGTCATTAAAATTGGTTACAAGTCTAGTTTCTTACATTTTTGGCCTTGCGTTGATTGCTATTCTATACTAAGAGAATCGTCAATTTCTTTAAAAAGGTACGGAAAACAATCTGTTTGGGTATAATTAATTGTAAATAGTGATTTTGACAAGCAAATCAAGTAAAACCAATTGGGTTTTAAACTTAGTCCCCCAACTGGACCAACTACTTGGCTTTGAACTTGTTTGTCCTGCCCCCCAAGTTTAGTTTTTTGTCAACCCCCCATTCTTTACCAGAGTCATCATTTTGACTAGACTTCCAGGAATTGGAAGGCGACTCTTTCTTCTTTTCTGATGGAGATTGAAATTCTTTACGTAGAGGATCCCTATTTCACGAGCCCCATTTAAGGGAAGCTTTTCACCGAGCTACTTGTTCTGTTTTATGTGTTGTTGAAGGCGGTAATTCGTTTGTCTGAACTTTATTTGTCCCCCAACTGGACCAACCACTTGGCTTTGAGCTTGTTTGTCCAGCCCCCGAAGTTTAGTTTTCTGTCAACCCCCCATTCCTTACCAGAGTCATCATTTTGACTGGACTTCCAGGAATTGGAAGGCGACTCTTTCTTCTTTTCTGATGGAGATTGAAATTCTTTACGTACAGGATCCCTATGTCATGAGCCCTAGTTAAGGAAAACTTTTCACTGAGCTACCTATTTTGTTTTATGTATTATTGAAGGCGGTAGTTAGTTTGTATGAACTTTATTAGTCCCCCAAATGGACCAACCACTTGGCTTTGAGCTTGTTTGTCCAGCCCCCGAAGTTAGTTATAAATGTAGTTATTTCAT